ATAACACAAAATGAAATTGAAGCAGCAATCAAGAGTCTCCCCAAAAAGAAAAGTCCAGGACCTGATGGATTCTCTTTTGAACTCTATGAGACCTTTAAAGAAGAACTGATACCAACACTCCTTAAACTGTTCCACGAAATAGAAAGGGAAGGAAAACTGCCTAACACATTTTATGAAGCCAGTATTACACTTATCCCAAAACCAGGCAAAGACACCTCCAAAAAGACTGTAGGCCAATCTCCTTAATGAACATGATGCAAAAATCCTCAACAAATAATGGCAAACCAATTCAACAACACATCAAAAAGATTATTCACCATGACCAAGTAGGCTTCATCCCAGGAATGCAGGGGTGGGTCAACATACAAAAATCAAAAAATGTACTAAACCATATTAACAGAAGCAAAGACAAAAACTACTTGATCATCTCAATAGATGCAGAAAAAGCCTTTGATAAGATCCAACACCATTTCATGATAAAAGCTCTAAGAAAACTAAAATTGAAGGAAAATACCTCAACATTTTAAAAGCTATAGATAACAAACCTACAGCCAGCATTATACTTAATGGAGAAAAACTGAAACCACTCCCTCTAAAATCAGGAACTAGACAAGGTTGCCTACTATCTCCACTCCTATTCAACTCTCTCTTCAACTAAATTAGAGATAAGGGCAAAATAGTTTCTGCCAGGTATTGAGGGGGTGGGGGGGAGAGGGAGGGGGTGGAGTGGATGATAAGGGAGGGGGTGGGGGCATTGTATGCACATATGAATAATAAAACAATAAAAATTAAAAAAGAAAGGACATAAAAAAAAAGCTAAACATTGATCTACCATTTGATCCAACAATACCACTCTTGGGGATATACTCAAAAGAATGTGACACAGGTTACTCCAGAGGCACCTGCACACCCATGTTTATTGTGGCACTATTCACAATAGCCAAGTTATGGAAACAGCCAAGATGCCCCACTACTGACGAATGGATTAAGAAAATGTGGTATCTATACACAATGGAATTTTATGCAGCCATGAAGAAGAATGAAGTATTATCATTCGCTGGTAAATGGATGGAATTGGAGAACATCATTCTGAGTGAGGTTAGCCTGGCCCAAAAGACCAAAAATCATATGTTGTCCCTCATAGGTGGACATTAGATCAAGGGCAAACACAACAAGTGATTGGACTTTGAGCACATGATAAAAGCGAGAGCACACAAGGGAGGGGTGAGGATAGGTAAGACACCTAAAAAACTAGATAGCATTTGTTGCCCTCAACGCAGAGAAACTAAAGCAGATACCTTAAAAGCAACTGAGGCCAATAGGAGAAGGGGCCCAGGAACTAGAGAAAAGGTTAGATCAAGAAGAATTAACCTAGAAGGTAACACACACACACACAGGAAAATAATGTGAGTCAACTCCCTGTATAGCTATCCTTATCTCAACCAGCAAAAACCCTTGTTCCTTCCTATTATTGCTTATACTCTCTCTTCAACAAAATTAGAGATAAGGGCAAAATAGTTTCTGCCGGGTATCGAGGTGGGGGGGGGAGGAGGGGGTGGAGTGGGTGGTAAGGGAGGGGGTGGGGGCAGGGGGAGAAATGACCCAAGCATTGTATGCACATATGAATAATTAAAAATAAAATAAAATAAAATAGCTATGGAAAAAAATAGAAAAAAGAAACCACATGCTAGTGTTTTAAAACAAAATCGATGAAAGTGATAAACTTCTAGACAGACTGGTAAGGGAGGAAACACAAGTTATCTATCACAAACAACAGCACCAACATTAGTAAGCTTATACAAGTGTTAAAAACCGTAGGGAATATTACAAAACTTTTTAGGTTAAAATTTGATAATTTAAGTAAAACTTACAAAGAAACAAACTACAAAGCTCACTAAAGAAGAAACAAATAACCAGAAACACTATCTGTAAAAACAGAAACTTAGTCAAAAATCTCACAAGCCAAACAAACAAACCAAAATCTCCAGACACAAGATTTTCACCAACCTTGAATTCTACGAAACACTGAAGGAAGAAATAAAACCAACTGCATACACAAAAGATTAACACAAAAATGAAGCAAGTACTTGCCAACTCCTATCAGTCAAGTATTACTCTAATTCATACTAAAATCAGAAAGACTGTAAGAAGCAACAATGAAAAAGACTACAAGGACCACATCATACTCCTTAAAATCACAGATACAAAAAACTATGAACACAATTTGGCAAATTGATTCCAACAATATATAAGACAATGCATTAAGACCAGGTAGGTTTTATCCTGAGAACTCAAACATGTCTTAACTTTCCAAAATCAATCACTATATTAAACTATAAAGGAAAACCAGAGGTGAATACATACAGGTGCCCCCAATTCACCTGACAGCTGACTTCTCAGCAGAAATCTTAAAAGCCAGAAGAGAATGCCATGAAACTTTTCAATACTGAAGGAAAGACACTGTCAACCAAGGATAGATACTGTACGCTTGGGCCAGGTGCCAATGACTCATATCTGTAATTCTAGCTACTCACCGGGCAGAGATCAGGAAGACTGCAGTTCAAAGCCAGCAGGTCCAAACAGTTCACTAGACCCTAGCTCGAAAAGAAGCTAACACATAAAAGGGCTGTCAGAGAGTCTGGAGCAGTAGAGTGCCTGCCTAGCAAACACAAAACCTTAAATTCAAATCCTCGTACTGCCAAAAAAAAAAAAAAAAAAAAAGGAAAGAAAATGGATTCCTGTCTTTGGAGCACACAAATGAAACTGGTTACTATTATCATTATGTTAAGTGAAATAAGTCAGGTACAGTAAAGTAAATACCACATCATCTTGCTCACATGAGAAATCTAAAAGGTTGCTCTCATAGAAGTTGAGAGTAGGATGGTAGTTACCAGACCCCACAGACAGTGGGGAGGAGAAGATTAGGAAAAAGTTGATTGATCGATGCTAAGATAGAGTTAAATAGGATCAAGAAGCTCTGGAAGGAACAGGGGGCATGGCTCAAGTTGATGAATACCTGCCTAGCCAGCACGAGGCCTCGAGTTCAAAGAAAAACAAAAACGAAGTATTTTGTTAAGAAGCAATGGCTTACAACTATAATCCCAGCTCTTCAGGAGGCAAAGACCACAAGAGTGCGGTTCAAGGCCAGCCTGGGAATAACTTAGCAAGACCCAATCTCAACAATGAGCCAGGCATGATAGTACACGTCTATAATTTCAGCTACATGGGAGGCCTTAGGCAGGAGGATCAAAGTCTAAGGCCTGCCCAGAGCAAAACCGCTAAACCCTATCTAAAACATAACTAAAATGAAAAGAACTGAGGCAAGGTATTTCTCAAGAGATACAGTATCTGCTTAGCAATCACAAGGTCCCAAGTTCAAGCCCCAGTAGCATCAAAACAAACTCTGAGTTACTATTACACAGTATGGGGACCACAGATAGAAAATTATGTATTATATGTTTCAAAAAGAAAGGATTTTGAAAGTTTTCACTCCAAAGAAATGATGAGTGTTTGAGAAGGTAAGTATGTTTGGTCTGATTTAAACATTACACAATGTGTATGTGATGTGAACACTGCATTATACCGCAGTAACATTTATGTTGTTGTGTATCAGTTACAATTTTTTCAATAATAAAACTTTAGCTAGGTGCCGGTGGCTCACACCTATAATCTTAGTTAGTCAGGAGGCAGAGATCAGGAGGATTGAGGTTCAAAATCAGCCCAGGCAAATAGTTCAAGAGACCCTATATACAAAAAAAAAAAAAAAACACAAAAAAATGGCTGGTGGAGTAGCTTAAGATGTAGGCACTAAGTTCAAGCCTCAGTACCACCAAAAAATAATAATAATAATAAACTTTAATCAATCATGCATGGTGATACATGCCTGTAATCCCAACACTTGGGAAATGGAATTCAACACTAGCATTGGCTAAGTATTGAGACCCTGTTTCCAAAAAATAAATAATGAAATAAGATTAAATTATAATGCCCTATCACCAAATCACTTCCTAGGAATCACTGCTATCCAAACTCCAAGAATATATTAATCTACTAAAATACTATTCTTTAAATATTTAAATACTTAAGGCTTAATGTGAGCTACCTAAAGTGTATTTCATCAAATAAATGAAATCATTAAATCCTTACTGCATTTCTAGGGAGTACTATTATCTTTACATAGAGATAAACTACCTTTATTTATTAATCACTGAGGTTCCAAACCTACCTCCATTTTGGATGACTTTTTAAATCTCAGACAGAAATAAGGACTGATATCTGTGTCAGAAACTTCATGTACATTTCATTTGATTATAAGGAGCCTAGAAATAGACCTGTGATGGTTAATCTTGATTGGACTAAGACATCCCTAGGGAAATCAGTAAAGCACATACCTGGGTGTGTCCTTGAGGGTTTCTAGAGATGATTAACTAGTTCTGAATGGAGATAACAATCACCAATAGGCTGGGGCCTGGATGCAGTAAGAGAGAGGAAAAGGAAGCCCACCTTACCAGGCACTCTCTCTTCCTGGCCACTATGTGAGCAAGCCATTCCAACAAAATTGACCTAAAACCTCTAAAAATGTGAGCCAAATTAGAAAAATAATGTGCTTATGTCAGGTATGTTGTCACTCTACAAAAAGTCTAACTCAAAGGCATTCTTATCCTAGTTTATAAAGAAATAAACATTTACTTAGTTAAAAATAACTTGCTCAAAGTCACAAATGTGAGCAGATGCAGAGTTAGGATTCACAGAAACAACAAGCTATTTTCTTAAGGATAAAGTGGAGAAGAAACTTCCTGAGAGATTTATTTATTTATTTATAATTAGAATCATTGCCTAGGGCAGTAGAAAAGGTTTAAGGACAGTTAAGACAGTAGAAAGATTTACCACTTCATTACAGTAAGAATTAACTCTATGTGTATCAAAAGTTTTTCATCTAGGTACACGCATAAACAAATGTCATATATGGTAGGGATTTCTGGAAGTATTAAACAGCTTACCTTTGGTGCATGCACATAGCCTGTCTGTGCCCGAGCAGTAAATGACAGAAACAAAAGAGTCCTGTTCATCAGTGCCCTCCTTTTTGGGAGGTTCCACTTTGGCCAAAATTTCAAAGTTTGAAAGATCTAATATTTTTACATATCCTCCCTGAGTGGTTATTACCAGGTGTCCAAGAGTAGAAATGTCAGACTTTTTCTCTCTCTCCATCCCATTCTTTGAGGTTAACTGCATTTCCTCAACAGGTTCTTCACAGTCATCCTCTCGATTATCCAATATATCTGGCGGAAGCAAAATCAGCGAGGTAATTGTGTCCTGGGGATCTTTGATATGTTGGATTTTTATTGGCTCCTCTTCTAAAGTCACTATCCGTGTGGCATAATTCATTTTATAAAGTACTAAATATCCACCGCTAACATTCCTCTGCTCAGGCTGAATTATCAAAGGAATCTGTACATCTGCTGGTGATTCATGTTGGATTACATTAATATTTGCACCATTCACTACAGCAAGATTTGATTCCAGCTCACCTTTCCGTCTAGTACATAGTGCGGAGTTTAATTTATTTAAATTATTCAAGGCCTCTACTTGATTTATTGCACTCAAGGATTCAACAGGGCATGTCCGCAGTCCTACTAACAAATGAATTCCATCAGCACAAGGAGTTATTGAGTCTATACAAAGATTCTCCTCCTCTGCAAACTTTGGCAGCCTCAAGCACTGAACCAAAGTCCCAGGCTTGGGAAATACAGAGTTCCACTTCTCAGAATCTGGAGAGGTAAGGTTGGCTGCAGCATCTGCAAACTGCTGAATGTAAGTCACGGGAGGATCCTGCAACAGCAACTGCTCCTGACTATCCAGTTCCATCTCAATAATCTGGGGAACGGTAAAACCATCATCATGAAGACTTTTACTCATGATATTGTTCATCTGTGAAAAGATCTTTCCTGCTTTGTCATCAGATTCTTTGATGCTATACAGAAGTAAAATGGGTAACGTCCTCCTTACCAGAGGAGAATTGAGTTCTGAATTAGTGCAGGATTCATTGTCAGTTGACCCTTGTTCTGATATACTTTCACCCTGAGTTCTGCTTAAACCATCCAGTGACCTGTGAGAATTACTACTAATGGGTGAGGTTGCAGGAGACTTATATGTTAATAAACCTCCAGCTAATAAACATGGAAAGGGAATGTTGTGCTGTTCTTGGTGCTTTTCCTTTGTCTTTTCACTTTTAGAGTTTGTTAAGCAAGGATTTGCCCCAAGTTCTTCAAGATCCTTAACAGTATCTTCAAGCACATTGGCCACAATCTCCCACTGAAGTTTCTCTGGCTGTTGGAGAATGCTGAGTGCTGTTATATCAAGGCTTATTTCCATGGTTTCCTTCTGCGATGTATGCCCTTTGGAAAGGAATAACGTTCATTAGATAACAGCCTATTAAAGTAAATCAAAATCTGTGTTTTAATGTTTTTATTTTTTTTTAACTCATCCAATCAATACGTTATAGTAAGTACAAGAATTTACACTATCTTAAAAGAAAATTAATCAAGTCTGAGATAAGCCTACCCGGAATAATCACATAGGTACTCATAGGACTCAAAATTATTTTCAATTCACAATACATTCTCCTGGAAACTAGGGAGCAAAAACATTTTTTGTCGGGGAGAATGGTTCTAGGGTTTAAAAGGTCTTGCACTTGCTCGGCAGGAACTCTACCACTTGAGTTACTCCACCAGGACTTTTTCAGTTGATTATTTTTTAGATAGGGTCTCACATTATGCCCAGGAAAACTACTTTTGTAAAACAGGAAATCAGCCCAGGCACAGCGTTGGGTGGCTTACACCTGTAATACAGCACGTGGGAGGGTAAGTCAAAAGATTACAGTTCCTGGCTAGTCCGGGCTACATATCAAGATTCTGTCTTGATAAAGAAAAGAAAAAGAGTGTATCTATGGCTACTCTGCAATCCTGAAGTCACAAATATAATAATGTTATATATACCTATTTAAATTTAGTTTAAATGAATGAGCTACTTAACAAATCCTCAAATGAGGCAATTAAAAACTTTGAACAGGAAGGTGTTTTCTTTTATGATAGCTGCAAAGAAAACATTCTCAGCCTAAAAGACATATCGTATAGTAATCAACAAAAAATCAACTGGGAAGGGAAATAAGGAGGATTATAGATCTAAAGGGAGTATAAAAAATAAAGCAGGCATAGATGAAAAACATAAAAGTAGAAAAGAAATGAGAAAATAAACCAAATACAAGTATTATTAATTGCAAAAATTCCCTCCCTTCCACTCTACACACTCCACCTTTCCCTGTGGTGCTGGGAATCAAGTCCATGCTACACAGGGATACCACACTGAGTTACACCCCAGCACACATCCTCAGACAAGAAAACAATGTTACAGTATGCAAAGGGAAGGTTCATTTAGACTCGACAAATTTTAACAACAGAAAAGGAAGCTCACAGACTTGAAGTGACCCAACAAGTATAAAGGGTTATTTTGTAGGTAAATTCAAACTCTAACAGGTCTCCAGGTGACCAGGGACCACCTTATTGTTCTTTATCAAATTAAGAAAATGCAATATAGGAACCCTCTTTTGATTTTCAAAGTGAGGAAAGAGCATTACCTTCATCAGTCTAAAGTTTTTAATGCAATCAATTCTTTATTTTTGTAGAGCTAATTACGTATTTGTACATTATTCAAGGCATTTTCTTCATATTTTGGGTTCTTTTTGTTCATTGCTAACAGCATCAAAACTGAGGATTAACCCAAAATCAAGCCAGTCTTCTGTTCAGTAGCTTTAAAAATCTTTCATGAAAAAATCAGAGTTTAGAGAACTTTTTCTACTCTACAATATCTGCAACATTTCACAACAGTACTGCCTACAACCATGTCTCTTCTAAAGAAATGCATCACATTGTATGTGTCCTGACCTGTTCATGACATTTAACACTACAGTCACAATTTAATAATGGTCATTTTTTTTAAACACTAGCATCTTCTCAGATATTCCAATCACTGTTTCATTATTTATTTATTTTTTTTATTTTATTGTTGTGTTCAGTAGGGGTACATTGTGGCACTTACAAAGGTTCCTATAAAATACATCATACTTGAATTCACCCCCTATACCATTTTCCTCTATTCCCCCACCATTTGAGAAATAGTTTCAACGGGTATCTTTTTTCTTTTTACATTTATTAATTTATTTAATCTCAAAAACTGTGTTTTCTTTTTTTTTTTTTTCTTCTGGCAGTACTGAGGTTTGACCTCAGAGCCTCACAATTGTTAGGCAGGCACTCTTACCACTTAAGCCACTCCACTAGGCTTTTGTCATCTTGGGTTTTTTTCGAGATAGGGTCTCACCAATTATTTGCTCAGGCTGGCCTCAAACCGCTATCCTCCTGATCTCTGCCTCCCGAGTAGCTAGATTAGAGACTTGAGTCACTAGCACCCCACTTCAAATTTAATCTTTATTTTGGGAACAAGAAGCTTTTATTTAACAGACTACATTTTACAAACAAACACAATTTTAAAGCCCTGAGGTATGTCCCAGAGATTTAACACAGCTATCATGTTAATTCTTTGGGTTAAATGGCTATTTAAATTTTATTGTAGAACACTACATATTTACCATTCATTCAAGATCTCTGACATACAATATTTTAGTTTTCTGTGTTTAACACTGAAAATTTTGAGTTTGCGTTAAGAAACTTATAATTAAGTCCTATTTAGCTTTACCAAGGACTGTATAAATACAATGATTTAAAAAAATATATATATATTATCACAAGCACTGGTGACTGATGCCTGTAATCCTAGCTACTTTGGAAGCTGAAATCAGGAGGATCGTGGTCTGAGGACAGTCCATGCAAACAATGGTGAGAATCCATCTCCAAACTAATCAGAACAAAATGGACTGGTGGTGTGATGCAACAGGTACAGTGCCTGCTTTGCAAGTGCAAACCCCTGAATTGATATACATATATATGTATGTTTGTGTGTGTGTGTGCATACGAGTATGTGTATGTATGTATATATGTGTGTGTAGTATATATATATTTAAAAAATAAAACGTAAGGTTTTTTACATACCTGTCACAGAATCTGATCTGGAATGCTCTTCACTGTCTGAATCCTCCAGTAAATCATCACTTAAATTAAAAGACAAAGTGAAAACAATTTGAACTTCAAAAAAAGTATACATCAGAGATTGAGGATGAAGCTCAGCAATAAAGCACTTGCCTAGCATACACAAGGCCTTGGGTCTAATTCACAGCACCAAAAAAAAAAGGTATACATTACATGAGAAAGCAAAGAGGGAAAAACCATAGTGGTGGGGCGTTGTTTGCTGATGCTAGTGCTAGAACCCAGATGTCCAACATGTGCTAGTCAAATATTCACACACTGAGCTCCAGCCCTAAAAAACAGTATTACAAACAACTGGTATGTATCTCAAACACAAGCAACATACAAAACTACTGAAACTACTTAAACAAGATAAACAGTACATTGATATCAAAACTGATAAAAAAAATTGTCACCATAAGTCATTTTAAAAAGGATCTCCATGAAATAGGGTGTGGAAACCCATAAGAATCCATAACAGTATTTGTAGGGATTTGAAGGCTGTGAGTGGCACTAATTTAAGCAAACAAAAAGATAAAAGAGAGCAGCAACTAATAAAATCAAACATACAAGTTTGCAGCAGTAAAATCTTAAGAACTATCAGTGAATTCAAGTTACTCTAAAACCAAATAAAACTGCATAAGTTCATGAGTATGTACCAATATTCACATTGATATGCATGTCATTTTTATTTTGTGGATTTGTTTTTCACGGGCTATAAGAACTCCTTGACATGTAGGAAAACTATGACAACTCAGAAGACAGGGTTAATACAATAGTCTCTAGTCTTCACTCAAGTGGTCAAGAAACTTTCAGACTCCCTCTTCAAATTCATCTTTACCACATTCTCTCCACTGTTAGCAAATATGAAAAAAATATTGTACTGACTATACTCTACTAATCTATAGCAGTTTCTAAACTTCTGATAATCTTATTATAAAAATGAAAAGCTAGATTCTTTTCAAAGAGGAAAGGAATCTCTCCTTTGTGTAATATATGGCACTGAAATTTGGACTGCATGGGCATCTGTAATGTTATTTCACAGATAGGCTGATAATTTCCATTAAAAATGCATGGTGGGCATGCACCTGTAGTCCCAGACACTTTGGAAGCTTAAAGCAGAACTGCATATGCCCAGTAATTTGAGAAAAACAACAAAGTGACTACCTCTAAAATTAACAAAAATAATAACAGTAATAAATACCAATAAATTATTAAATAAGAATAAATACTTAAGGATAGTACATTCCAAGGCAATGTTTGAAATTTGGGAGGGGCTCACCTAGATAATTTTGACCAAGTTCTATTTTTTCAAGTGATAGTAACTGTCCATAAACTAATTTAGTGCTAGATATAAAATAATGAAAAAAATATGGGCTAGAGATGTGGCTCAAGTGGTAGAGTGACTGACCAGCAAGTACAACGCCTTGAGTTCAACCCTAATGCCACCAAAAAAATTTTAAAAATTAAATGATAAAATGAATGAGAAAAAAAGTTTAAGTTCAGCTACTAATTAGCTTCAACTACTAAAATACAAATTGGCTGATTTTGAGAAATAAGTTACCTAGAAAAGTAAATCCTCAGAAAAATAATGCTTGGAAATTACTTGCAATGAAGAAATCCAAAAAAGAAAACAAGAGATTTCAAGTACAGAAGAAAAATAATCATGCATTATTATTCGTGTACTGAGATTTATATAAAATAAACTACTTGCATATTTTAAAAGACAGAATTGGCATGTTTTGATGTTACAAAAAGGTTTGCCATATAAACACCTTAAATTAGCAAAGGAAGTTCTGGTGGTCCTCAAAAATAATCTTTAACTAAAATATTCTATGACAAAAAAAATCTTACTACATTACAAAAGCAAACATGTAAAATCACTGAACTGTGTAATTAGAAGCTGAGTTTTCTGATATAAAAACCCTTTAATATTTTTTAAACATCACATGCTATTTAAAAAAACAAGAATACATAGGAATGTTTAATATAACTGAATACTGGATTTCCTTCAATTTCTGTCTCCACATTTTCCAGCTTTTGTACAGCATATACCATTTATATAATAGTACTAATGCCTTTTAAATTGTATAAAACCTTTTACAAAGCAATAAACATGCAAAAAAAAATAAGGTATGGTGGGTAAGTTCAAAAGTTTATGTGCTTTTGAAATCTAAACAAACTAATATCATTAGGGATATTTTGGTTTATAAAAATACTATAAACATCCTCAAAAGTTAAATTCAGGGCTAGAGGAGTGGTTCAAGCATTAGAGCACCTGCTAAGCAAGCATGAGGTCCTGAGTACAAACCCCAGTACCGCCAAAAAAAAAAAGTTAAATTCAAAACATGTTTGCCATTTTGACAAAATATACAAATAACTAATGAAACACCTAGAAAAAATTTTTATTTATTAATACACTGTTTGGGTCATTTCTCCCTCCCCAACCTCTCCCACCTCCCCCCCCAAAAAAATGTTAATTCATTTAGATTGAATATGTACTAAATCTTCTTCCTTGAGTAAATTCAGAGAAAAGAGAAATGTCTCGTAAGGAGAAATGGTTACTTTTAAAGTTAAAAATAACTTTAAACCTCCTGGGTAAGTTTTAATTTTCCAATTAATATATTGTTCTCCAAGCTAATGAAACCCATGGGATAAATTTTAAAATCCAAGCACATGGTATCTTGTGTGACATGAAGTCAGAGGTAGGCTGGCTCATTCTATTCACTACAATCTCTGATCACATTTATAAATCTGCCAGTAATTTCCACTTACCAAAATCAACTGGACATAAGCAACCTTCCCAAATTTTATGTTGTGAATTTCCATTGATTCCATTAATGAAATAATTTCTATCAATAAAATTTCACATTGCTTCTTAATGAAAGATTATGACATCAAAGGTATTTGAAAACAAAATGAAAATTCTCTGACTGCACTGTTAACACCAATCATACTTCACTAAAATCAGTGCTCCCAGCAGGTGAAAGGTAGCTATCCTCGGCATCTCGGGACATTTGATTAACAGTTAAGTATACTCTATCTCACATTCATACCTACAGAATCTGAAGAGCGATAGCTACTACTGCTTATCATAAACTGAGTGACTTATGGAACCCTTTACTCTGTCTACTTTGGAATAAAACAAACACTGCCTTTTGGCCTATTTCAGTCACGACCACAGAGATTCTTAGAAGACAGGTGAGTTTCCTTGACTTTCCTGTCCCACATAGATCAAATACAGACAAAACTCAGGAACTTGTCAGAAAGATGAGTGGAGGGGAATCCACAACAATAATTTTACCAAGATGTTTCTATTACTTGGTGCTTAATGGAATAGTGTTCTAAATAATTTGGTGTACTTGTCTCACCTAGGATCATTTCACAATTCAGTAGTGAAATTCACTTCCATAATGTGAGGTACTAATAAAAAGGGTGAAACTAAAATCATTTGGTTCCAATGCTCTATGGAAAAATTTAGTATTAGGTAAAATTTTAAAATCTAATCAACAGATTTCAGTTTTTAGACTTTGTTTTTCTTCATTTTCCTTCTCTTTTGGTGCTGGGGATGGAACCCAGGTCCTTGTATCTGGTAAACATATACCCTGACCCTGAGGTACAAACTGTAACCCCTAAACCTTTTTTTTTTTTTAATTTTTATTTTATTCATATGTGCATACAATGTTTGGGTCATTTCTCCGCCCTTCCACCACCCCCTCCCTTTCCCCCGCTACCCCCTCGCTACCTGGCAGAAACCATTTTGCCCTTATCTCTAATTTTGTTGAAGAGAGAGTATAAGCAACAATAGGAAGAACCAAGGGTTTCTGCTAGTTGAGATAAGGATAGCTATACAGGGAGCTGACTCGCATGGTGTTTTGTGGGGTTTTTTTGGGGTTTTTTTTGTAGTATTGGGGCTTGAACTCAGGGCCTACACCTTTAAGTCATCTGCCAGCCCTTTTTTAATGTTGGGTTTTTTTTTTTTTTTTTTTTTGGAGATAGGGTCTCAGAACTATTGGCCCAGCTGACTTTCAAACTGCAATCCTCCTGATCTCTGCCTCCTGAGTAGCTAGGATTAGAGGCGTAAGCCACTGGCGCCTGGCAAGACTTTATTTTTCAATGGGGCAAAACACGTGAAATTGACATAGATTGAGACTGAAAGTAAAGCAAATTTTACAGATTATGATATTTCTGAATGAAAATTACAAAGTTTTCAGATTCCCAAAATCAAATATTTATTTTCTAATCTCTTAACTTGGCAAATTTCTGTCATTTTAATTAGAACAATAAGACTATAAAATTTAGAAGAAAAACATGCAACCATCTATAAATTCTAATCCAATGAAGTCACATACCTATCTCCTTCCAATTTTGGTATATCTGAGCAACTAGAGGAGTCCTCCAGCCATGCCAAGGTTGGTCTCCTTGAATCAACTCCTGAGCTTGGTTCTCCTGATAGAATAAGCTGTTGTACAATTGCTGGATCATAGGCATTAATTTCAAACTTTAAGTGCACCTAAACAAATGAAAATCCTAAGTTTACAACTGATGTTTTTTTTTTCAATTACAAATGCATTCCTTCAAAATTACAACATACCTTCATGAGTTTGGAAACATCCCATATGCAGATCTTTCCTCGTTTAGTTGCAGCAGCTAGAAAATGAGGGCAGCTCCCAGACCCAAAGCAGGATATTCTGTCAGTTCCATCGGTACAAGGAAACTGTGCAGGACTCGTTGCAAGTGTGACTGACAATGGCACATTCTGTGTGTGCTCACCTTTCACAAATGGGCAGTTTGGGGAATGTCTCTCATGTTCAGACCTTTATGCAAATAAAGAAAAGTTGACTGAACGACAAAGAAATAAAATTTGTACATTAAAACAGAACTCTTAGGACTGTCTTACTTAACTAATTGAGCTTCAAATATTATAAATATTAAAAGTCTAAATTTGGGTTGGGGGTGTAGCTCAAGTAGTAGAGTACCTACCTAGCAAGCAAGAAGCCCTGAGTTCAAACCCAAGTACCACAAAGAGTTATTAAAAAAGAAAAAAAAAAAAAGGGGGCGGGGGGCTCAATCTTATCAAAACATTGTTTCATCAACTTTACTCTAGTATTTACATATTCAATATTCACAATATTTAATAATAACAGTTATTACTCTAATTGACTATAAGTAAAGTCTGTTTCAGATGATACTGAGAAATCAGTGTAATCTCAACATAATGAAAAGCCTACTTTAACTACTGATGTTTTTTCACAAAGGTTTTCTACAACTCTGAGCAATTACTTGGCTTCAGTTTGAAACTCTCTGTGCCAGTGACCACAACTACAAATGACATCTAAGAGAAACTTAATAAATCCAACTCATACCACCATGGTTAATAAGTATCTGAAAGCAAAGAGATTTCTTAAGAATACAGAAAACAATGACATTTTAAGAATGAAGAAATATAGCTTGCATATCCATTATCACAAAATCAGGACCCAATCAGGCAAGTAACATATAAATAAAAAGAAGGTAAAGTTTATAAATTACACACTACATTCCATCCTCCCTGTCTATGGGTTTGTATCTGTGGACTCAATTAATAGCTAACAGAAAATGTTCCGGAAAAAAACCTGCATCTGTACTGATGGCAAATACTTTTTTGCCATCATTCCCTAAAAGACACAGTATAATGACTGTTTACATAGAATTAACATTGTATTCAATATTATAAGCAATCTAGAGATGACATAAATGTGTAAGAGGATGTGCACAGATTATGTGCAATCATTATATATCACTGATATAAAGACTTAAGCATCCTCAGATTTGAATATGACAGTCCTGGAATCAATCCCTCAAAAATAGAGTTAAGACTGTAGTTCTTTTAAATAAATGATTATTGAGCAAAAACTAAGAGTTAAAATAAGGCTAGTAGAAAACTTTAACATATTTCAGAAAAATGAAATATTGAGATATCGGTTTAAAATTTTTCTCAATCCAGGAATGGTGGCTCAAACCTATTATCCTAGCTATTTAAGAAATGGAGATTAGGAAGACTGCAGTTCAAGGGCAGCCCATCTTATCCAATGGCTTGGGCACAAAACACCTGTCATCTTATCTACAAGGGGAAGCATAAAGAGCAGGATGGACTGTGCAGATGGGCCTAGATAAAAATGTAAGACCCTATCTCAAAAATTTAACAAAAAATGAGCTGCCCAAGTGGCTCAAATGGTAGAGTGCCTGTCTAGCAAGTATGAGGCCCTGAGTTCAAACCCCAGTACCATAAATTTCTCAGGTACATTTCTCATACATTTCTCAGGTTTTGATAGCAGGATCAACTCTAATACTTAAAAGATTATCTACCTTAAGGGTTGGGGATACCTCACTGGTAGAACACTTGCCTAACATGCACAAAGCACTGGGTTCAATCCCCAGCCCCACGGATAAACAAAAAAGCCAAAACACCTCTCTTACGTATAGCTAATACTTTCCTAGGTGTGCTTGTACACACCTGTGATCATGCTCAGAAGGCTGAGGATCATGAGTTTGAGGCCAGTCTGGGCTTATATTAAGTTCAAGAACAGTCTTGGCTCATAGCAAGACCCTGTCTCAAAAAAAAAAAAACAAAACAAAACAAATACACACACACACACACACACAAAAACCCAACTTTGTGACTCCTTTATATTTCCAATGTCCTTTTTTTTTTTTTTCAACCTTTCCCTAGCTGTAAAAATCTCAAAGCATTAATTTGAAATGTCAGGATTCTGCTACCAACAACAAAAAAAAAAAAAAAAAAGGAAAGGAAAAACACATTTTTTATTTGCCCATGACAAACAGAAACTGTTGTCAGAAAGCATGCTACTCCTCAGGTTGTGCATTTGTTTTCATGTTGCTCCTATATCTACATAGAGTTGCACCTCGGGAAATGTGTAGCACGCCGATGTCTTCCAGAATTAGAAATTCTTTTCCACTGCATCCCCAAGCACACATGTGAACCAGATTCCCTTCAAGCTAAATCCTAGTATAGTTTCCCCTTTCCATCTTTTTCTTTTAACTTTTGCTAGGAATTTAAGTGATATATTTCTAAACTATTTTGTAAGCTTGTACACACGTATATACACAAAGAAAATTATTTTACTATTTTAAACAATCAGTATCATTGAACTGAGCATTCTACAACAGGTTTATTTTTCTTTGTTGATGATATTGGGGTTTGAACTAAGCACCTCATGCGATGCAGGTGCTCTACCACTTGAGCCACTCTGCCAGCCCTGTTTTGTGTTGGGTTTTTTGAGACAGTCTTGAGAACTATTTGCCAGGGCTGGCTTCAAACCACAATACTATCTCAGTCTCCTAAGCAGCTAGGACTACCTGTACCTGGCTAGGTTTCTTGACAGAACATTATCTGAACATTCTTGTGATGGTGATTAATAAAGATCATATAGTATTCATTCTTTTGGATCACATGTATCTTATGAATATACCACATTTTATTTGTCTATTGCACTCCTGATGAGCACTTAAGATGTTTCGCATTTTTCACTGCCGTGGCTATCTTTTTTATGCCTAAATTAATTCCCTAGGATGAGATAAGTAAAAGTGGAATTGCTAGTTAATAAGGTATGCTATTCTTATTTTTGAAGAATTCAATCTATCTCCAAAGTAACTCTACCAACTCCCACCATCAAAATATGACGGCTCCTCATATTTTGTAAATCCTAGTTACTTGGAAGGCTAAGATGGAGAGAATCACAGTTCCACGGCAGCCTGGGCAAAAAACTTTGTAAGATTCCCTCTCAACCAAAAAAAGCTGGACATGCCAGCACATGCCTCTTATCTCAGCAGCTACAGAAAGCCTAAAATAGGAGCACTGCAGTACAGATCAACTCAGGCAAAAGGTAAGACCTTATCTTCAAAATAAAATAACAAAAAAGAACTGGAGGCATGGCTCAAGCAGTAGCCTCACAAGCCTGAAGATGTTAATTCAAACCCTATACCACCAAAAAAAGAAAAACAAAGATGGGTCCCCATTTTTCCCTTCAAAGCATCCCTTTTCTACATTATAGATTTAGAAGGCACCCGGGTTCAGCAACCCAGCTTTCATCAACTCCCTTTAATTCTATACATTTAGAGCAATAGCCCAAGCATTCAGAGATGTCTGAAGTTCCTGGAGTAAAGAGGTAGAATTCCTGAACTCTGGACCCTTATCAAGAAAAGAGGGATTTTAAGCAGCCTAACCTAACAATTTGAATCCATTTACTCACCAAAAAAAAATTTACAAGACCACATTCTAGCAGGGCACTGGTGGCTCACATCTATAATCCTAACTATTCAGGAGGCAGAGATCAGGAGGGTCATGGTTTGAAGCCATCCCAGGGCAAACAGTTCACAAGACTATCTCAAAAAAACCCAACACAAGAAAGGGCTTGTGGAGTGGCTCAAGGTGCAAACCCTAAGTTCAAATCCCAGCACCAGCAAAAAAAAAAAAAAAAAATTCTGTAATATCATAGTACAATTTTTCATGTGAGGGTTAAATAAACTTTAAAAGATGGACCTGGCAAAATAAAAAAATTTAAATGGTATGCACAAAACAGATGGATGGAAAGATAGATATCTTGCTTGCTTTTGTTTAAAAACAATAAATTCCAAACAAGAACAACCTAAATTGGATACCACTCATATTTAACTCTCATCAGTAAATAAAATGCATCTGAATATTTCATATACTGTTTTCCAGTGCAATGTTGGATCTGTATGCATACTGCAATAGACTTTTTTTAAGAGAGGAAGGTTCTTGGGGACAGAGCCAAGAGTCTCACAGTTATTAGGCAAGTGCTCTACCACTTGAGCTACATCTGTAGCCTTGCAATAGGCATTAGTACTAGGTTTACTTCATGCCATCAGCTAATGAATACTCAAGATTTCCAACTAATTATAGTGATAAGTGATAAATCTTAAAAACAAACCCTGGTTTTGTCACTTTTTAGTCATAAGTCCTTCAGCAGATTTTATTTTCTTCAATGTAAAATGGGATAGTAATTTCCATCTTACAGAATGACTTTACAAATTAAATTAGAAAATAGTCTTAGCTCCCTCCTACAAAATGGAAATGGGTACCTAGTTTAGAGAGTTAATGTGAGAATGAAATGAACTAAAACCTATATAGTGCTTATAAAAGTACATTATATATAGTATTACATAAATATTTGCTACAATTGTAAGTTTTTCTATTATAAGACCTCAGAGTAGTCATCTGTAAAAATTAAGTCTCAACATATAATAGCTACCATTTAACCAGGTTCTAAAATTTCATGCACTAGAATTCAAAGACACCCCCCTCCCAAAAAAAATTACTTCAAAAAGTGAAACGTGTACTCTTAAGTACCTCCTCCATGAATTCCCTGTTGACAGCCTTCCCTCCATGGCCCAGGATTAATGCTAAAGTTAATCATGCGAGAGTTCATTTTGCCAAACCCTGCCAGCTTTTGGTCAGATCCCACTTCTACTCTTTGGCACTTCTTCCATGTACAGATTTTGGAAAGTCATGGATCTCAGAGACACTATATGCCCACAGGTATGACACAGTATAGACAAGTCTGCCTCATTCTATTAAGGACAATAGAAAAAATACATACAACAAAAAATCAAGAAGAGTTGGGCCTGGTGGCACAAGCCTGCCATCCCAGCACTTGAGACACTGAGACAGGAGGATCAAATTTAAGGTAAGCCGGCACTATATAACAAGACCCTGTCTCAAAAACAAAAAAGATTATTTTATCAAAAATTATTTACCAAAATATAGAGCACCTGCCTACCAAGTATAAAGCCCTGAACTCAAATCCAATACCAGGGAGGGGAAAGGAGAGTTTAAAAAAAAAAAAAAAAAAAAAAGCACATTTGTAGAGCTAATTTAGCTGATTATGCCCACAAAACTCAAGACTTACCAAGGTTCATCAGTAGGTTCCCAACAAACAAGACATACACTACAAGTAAAACACATGGCTCTATCATCTCCAGAAGAGGCAGGCTGCAAAATTATGAGAGAAAGAATGAATCATTATTTAAATAGCTTTTTCATGGGCTGGCAGAGTACCTCAAGTGGCAAGGGTGCCTGCCTAGCAATCATGAGGCCCTGAGTTCAAACCTCAGTGCCACCAAAAAAAAAAAAAAAAACAGCTTTTTCATAAAGTCTTTGAAAAAGATCACAATTCTATACCAAAGAATAGAAAATTAGCCTATACTAATACACATGTGTATAAACAATGTTTAATAAATTTGCATCCATAGAGTAAGTGCTCAACAACAGGGTTTGATAGCAAAACATGAACTGAAATGTATCTAAAAACTAATATTAGCTTTTGGGTTTTTTTTAGTGTTGGGGGACATTACCAGAGCTTGAACTCAGGGCCTTACACCTCAGGCTTACTAGGCAAGAGCTCTACCACTTGAGCCACACCCCCAGGCTTTTTATTTTGCTTTGTTTATTTTTCAGATAGGGTCTTGTGTTTTTACCCTGGGCCAGCCATAGACTGCAACCCTCCTAGCTAGCCTCCTAGTAGCTGGGATTACAGGCATCCACCACTATACCCAGCTTGTTGATTAAGATAGGGGCTCATCCAGGCTGGCCACAGACTGTGAACTTCCCCATCTCAGCCTTCCAAGTAGCAGGGATTATAGGCATATGCTAACACACCTGGCCATAATATTAATATTTTTGAGCACTCAGTTATATAGAGCAAATATATCATACATTTTAGAAAACTAAAAATATTCAGCCCCAACACATGCAGGAAAGTCTAGGAAAACTATGATTTGATATCTTTGCAGAGACAGATCATAAGAGAAAAAAATAAAAAGGCACTATTGAACAGAAACACTTTTAGGAAATGACACCAAATTAGAAGAAAGTAAGCTGGTAAAAAGAATGGTGCACATTCAATATGTAATGTAGGGCAATAATTTCAGAGACTTTAACATTAGACAGTCTCAAACCTACCTATGGTTACCTAGAAATCTGAAAAAGCTGGAGGAAAACACAGAAATACATGTACGGTTTTCTGATTTAATTTTAATTAAGATGTTCAGAACACATCAAAATAATTAAAGATTAATCATTCTTCAGTCTCTTTATGACAGGAACTTGGATGAACTTCAATTCCAAGTTTAACTGAATTCTAAAGGTAATTCTTAGATTTATTTTTCCCCATGCTGGGGATCAAACCCAGGGTCTTGAGCATGCTAGGCAAGTGCTCTACCACTGAGCTACATCCCCAGCCCCATGGAAGTTTCCTATTAATTAATTAAACCTAGCTAAAATCATTTCTTCTTACCTTCCCTCTACTTTAGTTCAGTGTTTTCTATAATGACCCATTCTCATACCTTTTTGCCATTTTTCTTGACCAATTCTTCCTCTATCAACACAAATATAACTGGCTCTACTTACACCTCTATTTATTCTTAATCAGAGCCTCAATACCTACATTCAGGTTGTAGTCTACTACTATCTACAATGTTGCTTCTGTAACTGTCTAGTATATGGGTAATCTGTATCTCAATTAAAATTAAAATTTCAGGAGAAATTGCAGAACTGCTTTCTTTTTTAAAGAGAAGATCTCACGATGACTTCTAAGCTGGCCTCCAACTCATGATCCTCTCGCCTCAGTTCCCTGAGAGCTGGGATTACAGGTATGTGTCACCATACCTGGATTACAAAACTGCTTTGATTGCAATACCCTAAGTATATACTGTTATGGTATAAATGGAGAAGTCAAAAACTGAAAATAAACATACATCCAAAGAAAATATTTTCCAGAAATTTGATCTAGAAAAAACTGTCAAATTGGTGCTAAAAGAACTACCTAATCTGAGAGAAATATTAAGTAACACAGTTGTTAGTTACTTAACAATAACAATTTCTACCTTTCATATGTAACACAGGACATAGAAAGTAGTACCATAATCAAAGGTATAGGAAAAAAGAAGAACTTAAATACATGCATACAAATAAGCAAACAGCTAAGCTGCACGAAACAAGTTTTTGAAAAACCATTAAAATGCTGATGATTTTTAATGAAGACTGTAATGGTGTACTAAAAAAAATTAACGATAGCATTCTTACCTGATGATAAAATCCAGCTTGAGCCATGGGATCTGGTTGTGCCCACCTGTAGCCTACATGTGGCCATGAGGTAAATGTCTCCCGTCTGTTAGCTTCACTATACATCAACGATCTAAAAGCAAACACACTTCATGTAATTGAATTAGGCATCAAACCAGAGTGAAACTCCTGTTTAACCCTGCAGGGAAAGAAATTCACTGAATTATCAACAAAAATTGAAAATGATCTAATGATCAAGTTTAAATTTTTATTTTCCTTGGAAATGATTAATTTTAGGAATTTCCCATCGAGTAGGGAAAAAGAAAATCTGGTTAGTGGCTGTAAATGACAATTCCAGGGGCATAAAGAACTAGAGAGAAATTACCAACCAGAAAAGAAAAATTCTGGAAAGGAAGAAGCAGAGAGCCCCTGCTTTCAATTTTGCCAAGCTGGCAAAATTAAATAAAACTACAAGCAAATTAACAGCAGCTTTTCTCCAAGTATATTGGGTAAGTATTATCAGGTAGTATTTTGGGTTTTTTACATTCTTTGCCGTGCTTTAAGTAGAAACAGTTTTCTACTTTTTTTTCCAGAGGAATTCTTCTCCAAGGAAGCTGTACTTTATGCAAAGAATGAAATTTTAGGCAGATGTGGCAGTGCATGCCTGTAATTCCAGCACAGAGGAGGCTGAGACAAGAGAACTGTGAGTTTGAGGCCAATCTGAACTACCTAGTGAAACTGTGTCACAAAAATCACAAAAAATAAAATTTTCACATTTCCATAGTAAAATACATCAGCTCACTCACTGAAGGTACTCGAGTAATTTTTTAATGGACTATACAGCAAGTTTAAGGAAAGTCCAAGCGGTTTCAAATAATGACTGAGAGCAAAGTTAACCCTTCTTAACACAAAACTGCAACTACTAACAGGAAGGAAAAAAAAGAAAAAGTGCTAAAGGTCATCAAAAAAAAGACCAAAAACAAACTTTCCTTAAACTAATTAGTATGTGATTTTCTACACTTGCTGGAGAGCTTAGGGGGATCATTGGTAGAGCTCTTGTCTAGCATGCACAAGGCCCTAAATGAGGTCCCCACAATCGGGAAGGGGACAGGGGTGCCAGGGGTTTGCGGGTAAGAAAAGCACTTCATTTATGGGTTATACATGTCTTCAGGATAATTCAGAATAGAAAACTAGTCTCATTACCACCAGTTATATTACCACCAAACCTTAACAAATCTTCAATGGACCAAAGTCTACCAAAGTCCTCATAAGGCTCCTTGATTCATTTTCAATGAGCCAAACATCATAAACTGCATCAAAATTACTATTTGGGGACATTTTAACACACCAAGAAACATGAAAATCCTATGTAATGAACGTGTTTCCTAAAATGTAACATTTATCTCAGTTTGCACTGATTTCTTTAGAAAGAAAACAAGTAACTGTTTGCAAAGAAATTAACTCTGCAAGGCTGTTCTGTCATGTCACAATAGGCACTGCTCTCAGGTAAGAAATACTTGCTCTAGTCACATATTTTTTAATTTCCTTTCCAAACACGCTCCAAAGAATACATATGAAAATCAAAAGGACTGGGGGTATGGTCATGTGTTTGTCCAGCAAGCATAAGGCCCAGTTCAAACTCCAGAACTGCAGTAACAACAAAAAAAGCTATACTCCTTTGCCTGGCTGCCCACCATTCATTCCATCCCCTTTTAATAGCATCCTTAAAAAAAAAAAAAAAGGGAAGAAAACCTACGAGGTTTTATATTTCAGTGAAACATTTCTAATCTTTAGTATTTTTAATATTTATTAAGAATCTGATAAAAAAAATCTGATGTCATTTCAAATCAGATTATCGTTTACATTTTTAAACCTCAGCACTGAGTTCAAACCCCAGTACTGCAAAAAACATAAATAAATAAAAATAAAATGCCAAAAAGTACTGTTTAACAACAGCAATTCAATTGATAATATCTTCACAGAAATGAGATTCTAATTCTTAAAACATTTTGAAAATTTTAAAATCTTAACTAGATGATTCTTGGCTAATCCAAAACCTAATAATTCAGTCTCAGTGTGGCCTCTCTTTATAACCAGGCTCATACCTGTCCACAGTACGGCCTGGCCCCACTCCAAGTTCTGGACGTGCGCTAGGTAAGAGGTAAGACAATCTGTCCATCACTGAGGATGCCACAGGTAAGGCAGCAACATTTTGATTTATTTTCTTGAGTTCATTTACAATGGCACTGGCAATGGATTTCAGCACATGATGAGGAAGATGAAATGTAACTGTGGCCCACTGAAAGAAAAGAGAAGTGTAAGTGAAGGAAAATGCACTCAACAGTTTTAACCAAACTTGCATCAAATTAAGATCTGCGTTCAGTTTAGTCCATTAGTTTACTATTTACAGCAGGACTTGCCATTAGGTTAAAAAATGAAATCTCTTATTCGAAAAAGCTGAGATATGCAAGTATCCATCAATGGATGGATGGAGACACAATGAAACACGATACAGACTCTAAAAAGAAGGAAATTCCAACATTTGCAATAGCATGTAAAACCTGGAGAACATTATGCTAAGTGCAATAGGCCAGGACCAGAAAGGAAAATAGTATATGATCCCACTTACATATGGAACCTGTACAGTTTAACTCGTAAGCAAAGAGAATGATAGTTAGCAGAGGCTGGCGTGGGAATATGGGAATGCTATTCCAAAGGGTACAAAATGTCAGGAAAAACAAAATATGATGATCTATTATATGGCATGGTGATCTCAGATAATAAAAATGTACTGCATATTTTGAGATCGCTAAAAGTATAGATTTTAAAACATTCTTACCACAAAGAAATGATACACGGAAAGGTGATGAATATGTCAATTCATTTGACTTAATGTTTTCACAATGTATACGTATCAAAACAGCACGCTGTGCCCATAAATGTCTACAATTATTAATTTAATATTTTAATTTTTTTTATTTTAAATGAAATCTCAACTAACTAAAAAAGGCAACTTGGAACTATGGTAACACATCTTATATTTCCTACCACAAATAAGAGTAACTAAAAGCATCTGTCATTTTTCACATTCAACTTACACAAACATAATGTTTAATACAAAGTAGGCACTCAGATATCCTCATTCCTAAGACTAGATTTGAGCAAGGCATAGCAGCACACTCTTGTAACCCAAGCATTCAGGAGGCTGAGGCAGAAGGATTTTGAGTTTGAGGCGAGGCTGGGGCTACAAAGCAAGATGCAGTCTACAAAAAGAAAAAGAATGTATTTGTACAGTTACCATTACTGTTATAGATGAGGATTCAGTTTGGCTTAACAAATGTATGTTTTTGTTGTTGTCATAATCATAATTCAGCAATAACAACCAAAAGCATAGGCTTTGTAGTCACAAAGACATGAAATCCCAGCCCAACTTCACCATCAACAATATCCAATAAGTGCAGGGCTGGAGGTGTGGCTCAAGCAGTACGAAGCCCTGAGCTTGAAGTCAGCTGCTGGTAAACAGTTTGCAAGACCCTATCAACAAAAAACCCATCACAAAAGAGGGCTGATGAAGTGGCTTAAGTGGTAGAGCACCTGTCTATTAAGTGTGAGGCCCTGAGTTTAAACCTAGTACCATCAACAAAAAAAAAAAAGTTACTAAAAATGTTACAATAATTTTAAGAATAATGACTAAAGAAGTAAAAAGCAAAATGAATAAAAATTACTAAAGGGAAAAAAAGAACTTAGATTGCAGGGGCTAGGGGCATAGTTAAACTGGTATAGGGCATGCCTAGCAAGCTCAAGCCTTGAGTTCAAACCCCCATACTGCCAGAAATACTAGTAATTTCAAATGCTAGATCATTCTCAATCTCTCTCTGATACCATCCACTTCTCTGAAAAGGTCCATCTCTACTAATAAACTAGACTTTAAAAAAAAATAACTACAACACTGCAAAGTGTTGTATTAAGTCTACAAAGTAACTGTGTTTTTATATCTTATCCTCAGATCACATCTTAATTGTTTCTACTGTGTCAAGTATACTCTGGCAGTTTAGCATCTTACTCCTTTCCTATATAAATGGAAAACCTTGTGGCCAAAAATATAACTTCAATTAAAAAAGAGAGAGAAAGAGAATCTCTTGCCTAGTTTTTAGATCTACCTGTTCACAGATGTGAAGACTCTTCATTGAAAAGGTGGCTGACCCACCTTGGAAAAGGGTCCTGCAGTGATACTACAACTGTATACTCCAACATACTGAGCTGCCCCAAAGGGACTTGTGGGCATTCACTACAGGAGAGACTGCAGGGAAAGGTCTTTCAGGCACTGCAACAAAGTGGCACTGAACTAACCTAAACTATCAATGTGGTCTCACCAAACAGGATTTTTTAGGGAGAGAAGTAGAGTAGTAATGGGATTTAAACTCAGGATGCTCTACCATGAGTCACACCTCCAGCCCCATGGTGAAGACTTATGACAGTCATGTGCTTAACGGAGTTTAGGCACAAAGTTGTCTCAAAGAGCTATAGGTTCACAGACCTATGCTGTAGTTATTTCTCTGGATCCTGAATGCATCATTGCAGGAGATACAGACTAGACAACTGGAAAAATTCCCGTCCATATGAACTCTCTGCTCCTCCCTGAAGACCAATAAGATAGGAAAGACCATTTATGTACAAACCCCTGGAACTTTCCTTCTCCCAAGTATATTTAACAAAAGCAAAACCACATTTGTGTACTAGAGATAAGGCTCAAGTGGTAGAGTGCCTGCTTTGCAAGCGCAAAACCCCAAGTTCAAACCCCAGCCCCACACAAAAAAAAAAAAAAAAAAAGAAAAAGAAAAGAGAAAGAACTGGCAGCCACATTCCTGAGGAAATTTCAGAGAGATCTTAAAGAAACTAAACTGGGTGCCGGTGGCTCACGCTAGTAATTCTAGCTATTTAGAAAGCTGAGATCTGGAGGAATGGTGTTTAAGGCCAGCCCAGGCAAATAGTTAATGAGACTCCATCTCCAAAATAATGAAACCAAAATAGACCAGAGGTATGGCTCAAGCAGTAGAACACCTGCTTTGCAAGCACAAAACCCTAAATTCAAACCCAAGTCCCACCAAAACTAAACTAAACAAAAAAGAAAGAAAGAAAACAGAGAAAGACTTGAACAGTAACGGGGTAATCAAACAATCTCATCCAACTTAAATGGCCTGTTTGGCCTATGCATGATGTGAGGACATCTTGAAGAATGACTATGATTGTAAACTATTAAGGTGGTGAGTTCAACTACAGAAGCTGTCTGAGATGAGGCATCATTACTTAAGCAAATCAACAAACTCCTTAATACCTAATAGGCAATTACAGTTTTGTTAGCTGGCAGTGTCTATGGCAGATACTGATACTATAAAGAGCCTCTGGCAACTGAACTGTCCCAACAGAATGCTAGGGTCTTCAAACAACTGTCCTCCTTTAAAGAAATAGCTCCTGGCATTTTACTGATCCCACATAGACATCAATACCTAACCATGAGACAACTATCTATACAGTCACAGCTGTCCATCACAACTAGGTGTTTTCTGGCACATCAAGTCACAAAATATTAGGCACAAGCAATATCCTCTCAACAGGTGTCTTATAAGAGAACCATTTTGAGAAAGTCCAAAAGGCAGAAGTTGGCTAAGCAAGTGGTTCAGACTTGTACAATACTACTCCTGCTACATCCTTCTCATTTCACATTTGAAGGAAACTCCTTATGACAAGAAGCTCTGAAGGGAAAATACCCATGGCTCTGATTTATAAATGGTTTTGGACAATATTTGCTGGTAACACCACAAAGTGAATGGCTACCAAATTACAGCCCCAATTAGGACTGTAATGAAGATAACACTGGACAGTACTTCACCCAGTATCTGGTCGTTTCCGTTTTGTTTTGTTTGTGGGGAGTTGTGTTTTTTTGTGGTTACTGTTATTTGTTTGGGGTTTTTTGTTTGTTTGGTTTGGTTTTTGAGACAGGGTCTTGCTGCATAGCCCAGGCTGGTATTGAACTCAGGATCCTCCTGCCTTAGTCTCTCGAGTGCTAGGATTTAAAGGCATGCACCAACATGCCCAGATATCTGGTAATTGTTTGTCTAGATTGAGAATTAGACAGAAGGTCCTGACTATTAAACAACAGTTAGTATTTTAGCTGGAGGGTAAGGCACTTGGAAAGATCAGGATTGGAAAACTGTGAACAAGGAAGTCAAGGGTAGAAGTCTGCAAACAGCTCTCCAAATAAACAGTGTAAAAACACTTGTGAAAAAAATATGCAAATGCTCACCAAAAGGCATCCACTCCAGAGGAAATGACCCCCCGACACACACACACACACACACACACACACACACACACACACACACACACAGTGTAGAACTTTCACCACAGGAATTCCAATGCTCTTCATTCACCACAGGAATTCCAATGCTCTTCAGAGGTCCTGTGTATAAAATGTCACGGCAAGAGATGGATGCTGTGCACAGACCTGGTAACATGAACTTCTTATCATCCAAATTAACTAGACTACAGGGAAACATCTGGCTGGTTGACTATAATGGATGACTTCAGTCATGGAATGGGCAACAATCTGTCTTTCCTAACAACATCTATTTACCTGTTCTGCCACAATGCTTCTGCTATAATATCACATACACCACTGCATGTGGACTAACAGAATATCTTATGCACCATCATGGTATTCTAGACAACTATGCCTCTGACTAAGCAAAACATTTCAAAGAAAAAAAAATTTTAAAGACACAGCAATGGGCTCTTGGCCATACAATTCACTGGTCTTACCATCCAGAAGGACCTGGCCTAACAGAAAAGTGTAATCTAAAATACATGGTGATTGGGGGCCTAGCTCAGGTGGTAGAACACCTACTTAATAAGTATAAAACCCTAGTTTCAAAACACCCCCTCGTAATGCCACCCCCAAAAAAATCATGTCCTATTATCAACTCACTTTTGACACTAACTAGAAGAGACACCCTAAAAGGTTAAAATCCGCATCACAGCATGATGTTTATGTTTCAAAGCAACAAAAAAAATGCACAATGACACTTTTTCCCAGCATGATCACTAGTTTGGTTTTTTTTTTTTGTCAAACTTTCAGCTATCCAGGTCTTTCTTTGTGAGGAAGGAACGATCCACCAGAGATACAGCAATGGTTTCATTGAATTGGGTATTGAGATTGCTGCCCAGCAATTTTGGGTTCCCCTTGTTAGTTAATGAATGAACAGACAAAGAATTGCATGCCTAAACCTGATAAACAGGAGAAACTGGACTGACACAAACAGGGGGAAAAAGAACTTATGCAGAACCCTGGAGATTCTCTAGAGTGACTCTTGGCACTCTATGACCAGGAGTAAAGGCAGATGAACAATTAAAACATTTTAAAACAATAAGACATCTTAAAAAGATAGCACCACTAAGGATACAGATCCTTCAGAAATGAAGGCTTGGGTCACTACACTACAATCAGAAGCCTGACTAGTACAGATGCTGATAGTAGGAAAAAAATTCATCAGATATACAGTCCTGACTATCATAGAATTGAGAACTACAGCTGAGCAGCAAGGCGTACAATCTGTAATCCCAGCACTGCTTCCTGAGAAGGAACAGTAATGAGATTAAGGCCAGCCTGGGTTATAGAATGAGTTCCAGGCCAGCCTGAGCTACTTAAGAACCTGTCTCAAAAAAAAGTCTTTGCTCCCATTTCCTGCTTGGGGACCAGGAAATGTTTCTTTCTTTCTCTCCTACCCTCTCCATACTTTATCCTGTTACACAAAAATAAATCCGTGCTAAAACCTGTGAGAGAAGACAGAGAGAGAGAGAGAGAGAGAGAGAGAGAGAAAGGGACAAAGGAAGGAAGGAAGCAAGCAAGCAAGCAAGCACACTAGCAAGTTAAGGACTGTAGCAGTTATGTGTATATTTTTCTTCACTTTTTATTTTCTGGCAGCATTGGGGCTTACACTCAGAGCCTTAGGCTTGTTAGGCAGGTGCTCTACCACTTGGATCACTCCACTTCACTTCTTATTACATAAATGGTACCCAAACACAAAAGTAGATAGATGGGGCTGGGCACAGTGACATATTTCTATGATCCCAGCTACTACAGAGGCAAAGACCAGGACTGAGGACAACCAGAGCAAAAGGTGAGTGAGATCCATCCCAATCAGTAAGTCAGGTGGATTATGACAAGCCATAGGTGGGAAGATCACACAGTCTGAATCCAGCCCCACTCAGACTCTCTGAAAAATAATTAAAGCAAAAATACAAAAGGAAGAGGGAGTTAGGGGTGTTGCTCACGTGGTAGAGCACCTCCCTAGCAAGCATGATGCTCGAAGATTAAACCCAGGTACTGCCCCAAAAAAGTAGACAAATGGAAATTTAAGTATAGACACACAGACACAGGCAGACATATTTTACATAAGAATTTTGGTCTGGGTGCCAGTGGCTCACACCTGTAATCTTAGCTACTCAGGAGGCAGAGATCAGGAGGATCACAGCTTGAAGCCAGCTCCGGGCAAATAGTTCATGAGACCCTATCTCAAAAACCCCATCATAAAAAACAGGGCTTGTGGAGTAACTCATGTGGTAGAGCACCTGCCTAGCAAGTATGAGGCAGTATACTCATGGGGTTTGAATTCAAACCCCAGTGCTGCCAAAAAAGAAAAAAGAAAAGAATTTTGGGTTCTTGTTAATTCGATATTTAATTAACATGGTTCTATTATGTAAATAATAGTAGTCTGACTAAATTTTAGAAATAGTTATCATCTAGGATGGGTAAAATATCTGCTGAAACCTTGCATCTCCCTTTCTGGGGTAGTGGAAAGACAACCTCTCCTTTGAAAAAAAGGAACAGGGCACCTGGTTAGGTAAAAGTATACCCTCTTTTTGTTACATAAAGTTCAAATATATGTAAAAAAGTATGTATGAAGGTGCTGAGTGGCCAAAGGAATGGACCGTGACAGTTGTTAAACTATTGTCTCTTAAACTGTAACCTGCCCCTTGTAATTCCCTGCTGTTATGGTGGGACTAGAACAAGCTGTACTTCTTTGTAAACTGCTTCCTGGGGGGAGGGAACATGGAAAGTATGATGAGGGGAAAATTTGCTTGCTCCTTACAATTACTAGTCACTACTGCCAGAGTTTTCTCAGGAAAGGACCTGGTGGTGGTAGTTGATTCTTCTAGGCTCGCCATTTGTGTTTTGTGTTTTTAGGATTCCCAGAGCTGGTCTCATACAGCTTCCTCAACAGTACTACCATCAGCCACATAGCACCTCTCTTCAGAGAGCTCCTAGTTGAGCAAGGCCCTCCCTCCTCCAGGCTCCTGAGGTACCAGCAGGGTCATTTTTCATCAGAAGCCTTGAGTCCCAGGGGCCCATGGGGTCTGCTCTCTAAGCTTCTAGGTTCTAATAACCTGAACCTCTGTCTCTTTATTCCTTAACACCAAAGTGAGAGCTGCTTCCTATAATTACAAACTCTGTGTTATCTTAGGGTTTCCCTTTCACTTTAGTTCTCAAACACCTGTTAAATCAATTCCTTAGTAAATTCTATCTGCTAAAATTTATAGTATGGTTTCTGCTTTCCTAAACAAAATGTCTCATCGATGGAATTATAGGCTAATAAAAACATGGTAAAACTACAAAACAAAATTCAACATGAATATTAAAAAGAGCACAGATGATCAATGAGGACTGAAATAAGAACATATTGAAGATACAGTCTGAAGTAAAATAAAGCAAGGTGCATCACAATATTTCAGTATGATTACAATTATACTTGAAAAAAAGAGATATTTGTAAATGTAAAAGTTAATTACAGTGGTTCACACCTGCAATCTCAGTTACTTGGAGAGTGCATATCAGAAAGGTATCAAGATCAGCCTAGGCAAAAAGTTATCAAAACCCCTCTCCCCCATCTCAACCAATAGCTGGGCATGGTGGCACACGCCTCTCCTCCCAGCCACACAGGAAACAACAAATAGGAGCGTCATGGTCCTTGCCACCCAGGCCTAACCATGAGACACTATCCCAAAATTACTAAGCAAAAAGTGCTAAGGGCATGGCTCAAGCGGTACAGTGCCTACCTGAGTTCAATCTCCAGTACCAAAAGTTAATTTTAGGAAAATGGCTTTTATAGTCTACCTTGTATCTTAAATATGGAATTGTTCTGTGTATTATGATTTTTAAAAAGTACTAAAAGAAAAATACAGGAGAAATTAATGAATTATACTCAAGAATTTTATTCAAAGAACCCTCTCCTTCCACACACTTTCTAATCAAGCCAAAAAGTCAGTTTCAAAGAAAGCACAAGACCTATCAATGTATACTGGTAATTCCAGCACTCACAAGGTTAAAGCAAGAAAGCAGACACTTTGAAGCCAGTCAGGGCTGCATAGCGAGAGTATGCCGCAAAAAAAAAAAAAAAAAGTACAAAATGGCCCCACTTGCAAAGACAACTTCTGTTCTCATCTAAGCTCATAAGTTAATATGGAATCTCTTTCATCAGTTTCATCAGCTCTTCAGCAGCACAGGGCCATCAGGCAAGCACCAAGCCCTGAGAACATAGGAAGCAGAACAGTTCACACAAACTCAAGTTAGACATCAATAAAAAACAGTTTCAGGGCTGGAGTCATGGCTCAAGTGGTAAAGCAGCTGCCTAGAGTGCAAAGCCCCAAATACAAACCCGAGTACCAACCAAAAAAAGTTTCAGGCAGACAATGTAGCTCAGCGATAGAGTGCTTACCTAGCATATGTGAGGCTCTGGGTTGAATCCCCAGCATCACAAAAAAAAAAAAAAAAAAGTTTCAACTTTGAGAGGTCTTATAAGCACATTTGGTTTCTTAAAATCTACAATTAGATTAAGTAGAGGGGGAGAAAAAAGCAAAATGACAGAAGTGTTTGTTCTAGTATAACTAAAAAAAATATTATTTTTAATTTCTTACCTTAGCAACTTTGTGGTTTGCTGCAGTCTCATGAGATGTATTTTTTAAACCATCTTTGAGCTGTGTGATGAACAAATCATAACCCTCCGTACTAGAAATATCTACCTTTTCTAAACATGCCGATAAGAGCTGCTGTGCCTAAATAAAAAAAAGATGATCACAAAAAAATTAAACACGATAAATCACAGTTCAATTCAGATGTGCAGATATTTGAATGTGTGATGGTTGTAACAAGTACTACAGAAAACTTATCTACTTTTACTTTTTTATACAAACCTAATGATGATTTAAAAGGCTATTGTACAATTAAATTAGATAAAGCAATGTATTCAGGGCAGTACCACAGTAAAGTTTTAATACAAATTATAAACCAAGTCAAGAAATAAAAATGGGCAAGCTGAAACTATGTGCATAATGAACAGGTAAAAAAATTTTTTTTGGTGGAACTGGGGTTTGAACTCAGGGCTTCGCACTTGCAAAGAAGGTGCTCTAACAATTGAGCCACACCTCCAGTCCATTTTTCTCTGGTTAATTTAGAGAAGGAGTCTCAGAAACTATTTGTCAGGTTGGCCTCGAAACACAATTCTCTATCTCAGCCTCTCAAGTAGCTAGAATTACATGTGTGAACCACCAGTTCCCACCAAACACGTTCTAAAAAGATAAATGTAAAGTCCTCCCAATAAATTTTATATACACAAAGTACACTTGCCATTCAACAAGTAATCTGAAAAGGTCCTCTGCAATGTTACCCATATAATTCAACAGACATATATGACTGACATGATGGAAAAGTTACATCTATACTCATGGAGCCACAGGCAGGATCCTATACTTTAAGGAAGATGGTGATAAACAGTGTGATACAGTTAATGATGCCTAGGATGATGGAAAGTTTATAAATAATATTATGTGAACACACTTGCAATTAGGTAAGGTAAAGCAGAAAGCAAAACAGGCCAGGTATGGTGGCTCACACCTGTAACCCTAGCTCTTCAGGAGGCAGAGATTGGGAGGATGTAGGTTCAAGACCAACCTGAGCAAAAAGTTTGTGAGCCCCCATCTCAACCAATAAAAACCCTGGATGTGATGGTGCGCTTATCATCCCAGCTATGTGGGAAGCGTAAGTCAGAAGACCGTCATGGTCCAGGGTTGCCAGGGCATAATCCTGAGACTATTTCAAAACAACCAGCACAAAAAAGGGCTGGCAGAGTGGCTCAAATGACAGGTGCCCAGCTAGGACGTATGAGTCCCTGAGTTTAAACCCCAGTACCACCTAAGAGGGAGGAAAAAAACCAAGTAATGAAACTTCAGCACTAAAGAAAAATACCTATGACTAAAGTTTTGAACTATGGGGGGCTGCGGATATAGCCCAGGAGTAGAGCACTTGCCTAGCATGCACATGGCCCTAAATTCAATCCCAGCATCACAAAGAAAAAAGGAAAGAAGAAAAAAATAAGTTTAGACATATACTAAAGGTTAAAGGTTACTGGTTGTTCACTAATACATATTCCTCCTATTTTTTAATATTTTTAAAAAATAACAAACTACCTTTTTTTCTGTCTCCCTCTAAGCTTGGTATGACCAGGGAACTAAAGTCTATCCAGTGGGGGTGAATATGAAAAAGATATGGGGTGGGGGTACCACATGAAGGACAGAAAGAGAAATGAGGGAGAGACAGGAGAGGGAGGGGGAGAAAGAGAGAAAAGAGAAGTGGGCAGAAAAAGATGCCCACTCTTCTTGTCTACAACTGGGAAATGAGGAGACCTGAGCAGATGTCTAGAAGTCACTAGTAACCTATAGCTAACCTAAGTGCTCTGGTTAGCAAAGCTATCCTACGCTTAATCCTGGACAGAGATTACCTTGCTGATTAATAAGCCACTGTATTTTTGTGGTTTCTGCCAGATCTGTTTAACCTGTGCTAACACATAATTCACACCTGAAATGTCACTTCAACAAGCAC